GCCCCCCCGCGCCTACCTGGAATATTGCTCTGGGGCTCGATGCCCGCGGGGAAGTTAGTGTTCTCGGGGATGGAATGGCTGTAGTCGTCCAGCGGGGGGAACTCGGCCGGGATCTCTGTGTGGCGTGGGACCAGCACAGGAGGTAGAACTGTCCAGAAGAGCAGAGGCGGGTCAGTGTTAAGGCCGGGCTGGCACCCAAGCCCTCCAAGCGCCGCCGGCACGCATGCAAGGCGGACCCAACCCCCGCCCCCGCACACCCCCAGCCCCGGGAAGGGGAAGGAGAGGACGGGCAGGTAGCTGCGGAGCCCGGGACAGGCGGCGCCTACCTGGGGTCTCTACCCTCTGGTAGTGGTAGGGATTCACGCAGACCTCGTCCTTCTTCATGTTGAAGGCGAACTCACACAGCTCCATGGCCCGCAGCTCATGGTGGCTGTGTAGGTCGGGCCATCGCCACAGGCGGCAGTAGATGACATGGGGGAGCCCCTTGCGATGGGACACCTGCAGGCGGCCATCCAGGGACCTGTCCGGACGGGGGAGGGGTGGAGAGGAACAAGGCAGCGGATTTGGCTTGGGTTCTCCCCCAGACGGGCGAGCTTGCAGGCACAGCCTCAGCGAGCCCTCACCCCACCCCTCGTTTCTCTGAGCCGCACAGGGCCTGGGCATCAGAGAATCCTGTTAGGGCTGGCAGGGGTCCCAGGAGAGGATCACAGAGGCCCACCAAGGAAGGCCGAGGGCCTCCCCGGGCTGGCAGTGTAGACCCTGACTGCACCAGGCCCTGGGGTGAGTTCTCCAGCCCTCCGCCCTCCATATGAAGGGAATGGCACTTGATTCATGCTCTGAGCAGGCCCACGGGCAGAGGGGCTCAGGGCTGAGCAAGGAAATGAGTTCCTGGGGTATGTGCGTGCGTGAGGACCACAGTGATGCTGTGAAGTGACAAAGCGCAGTCGCATCTATCCCCTCCCAACACTCAGCCCCCCCCATGAGAAAACAGGAAGAACCTCTCTCCCTTTTTGTTGGTATCTGTGACAAGGCAGGGAGGGAAAGAGGGCAACTGAAGGGCTTGTAAATGGTAAGAGCCTACAGTGCCAACCTCGTAGGAATCTCTTTCAGGCGGAGCGTGGCACTCAGGTATCACCATCCACAGCGCGCCCCTAGCTAGAGCCAAGGCCTGAGGGCTGATGCCAGAGCTGAGTAGGAACAGAGCTTCCGACTCTACACCAGGCTGAGTTCTGCAACTGTCCCCAGCCTGGCTGGACCAAACACCACAGCCAAGGACAGGGCCCTGTTCCTGGGCAAACAATGTCTTCTGTGGTGACTTGGTGCCCCCACCTCTCAGGCCAGGCCAAAGTGTGGTCCCTGACCAGCAGCACGGGGCCACGGAGGTTTGTTAAAAAGGAAGAGTCTCCGAGGCTTCCCCAACCTACTAAATCAGAATCTTCCTCTTTATAAACCCCCCAGGTGATGTGCATGACAAGAAAGGCAGAGGGGTGGTACTGGGCCTGACCCCTGGGAGCTCAGGAGTGGCAGGCGTACTCCCAGCCAAGAGTAAGACAGGGAGGTGGGAGGCTTATGAAGACGACGTCCAGTGTCAGACAGGGGAGGATATCCTGTGCACACAGTTCTTTATTTAACAAATCTTTTATGAGCTCCTACTATGTGTGGCACAAGGGACACAGTGGGGAGGGAAGAGATGTCATAGTCAAACAGACCAAGAGTGGTCCCTGCTCCCATGGAGCTTCCAGTCCAACGGACAAGACCAATATTAATAAAATCATCATCACAAACTATGCAAGTATTCTGAAGGAAAAGTGCAGGGAGCCACGTGACGCCGGGGACCTTGCTTTACTGAAGGGCTGGACAGGGTGCATCTGAGGTGGTGTTGGTTGGCCTGAGAGTCTAAAGGACAAGTAAGAACTAACCAGGCAAAGGCGCATGGGAGAAGGGCATTCCACATAGGGGGAAGGTCATGTGCAAAGGCCCTGTGAATGGTGGAAAATATGGTAAGGAAGAAGAACAGAAGGAAGGCCAGAGTGACTGGGGAGGAGAGAGGGAGAAAACTGGGTATGAGATGAGGGAGGGGAGCGGGCAGGGCTGACTCTGCAGGGCCTTGGGAGCCATGATAAAAGGTTCTGCCTTTTTCCTAAAAGCCATAGGGAATCCCTGAGACGTTCAGCTGAGTGTGTGCGCATGTGTGCGTGCGCGAGACAGCCCCCGTGAGAATCTCGGCAGCCCGGCCAAGACCGGGGACCGTGGGGGTGGACAGCGAGCGGAGGTGCACACGAACACGGAGGTACACAAGGGCAGGACGACTCTCCCTACAAGAAGGCCCAGGTTAGGATCCCACCGGTCAGTGGGTGCCACTTTTCCCTTAATAGCTGGGTGGGGCCAGTGGAGAAGCATTTACAAGCTCTCCCTCCCCTCAGCCCCCACCCAGGAGGGCACCCATCCGCCTGAACAAACAGAACTGATGGGCCCTCTGTGTGGGAGGGCCTAGCCAGATGCAGCCAGAAGCACCAACAGAAGAGAAAGAAACAGAAATCCAATCAAACTCTCTAAGGCCCTGGCCTGAGAATGGGGAAGGGACAAAGGTCAGAGCAAGACTTAGTTACAGGGATTGACAGGGAGCTGCTGATGAAGGGCCTCTCAAAGGATGTAATTACTTCCCTCCCATGGGGCCCCGAACCAAGGAACCCCTCCAGCCAAAAAACAGTAATTACCAGGCAGGGCAAGAGAGGACAGCCTGGGACTCGCC